AGTGGACCGGAAGCCCTGGAGAATTTTGTTCTCTCGGTTTGTCAATCCAGGAGCAGAAACCAAGATTTATTTTCCCTGCCACCTTGCCAGACTTGAAAAGACATTTTCCTCAGAGTGATGGCCAGTTAAGGCTTTTTCAACCCTGGCATCAATCTATCGAATTCAAATGACTCTTTCTTGTATTTGGGCAATCTTGCCCATTTCCGTCTTCATCTTTAAGTGCCGCTATATGCTTTGATATTCTCTACTCAGTTAACTATTAAAGTAATGGCGTGTCTCATTCTTGACAGTTACATCACTCTACTGCTAATGTCAAAATGAGGATCTCCAAGAAAAATCATTATATATTCAATAATCTTTCTGAAATTGCACCTTTTACAGAAAATCTTTTAAGGTGCAGAATGAATTCTTACGCATAAGCTCCATTTCGTGGTAGTTACAATGTTATCAAGCATCGGTCCCAGTAAAATATTAAAGGTTACACAATGCTCTTAATGTGGAGGTGCTGGTGTTGGACTGGGGTGGACAAAATGAGAAGTCACACAACACCAGGTTATAGTCCGATAGATTTATTTGAAATCACAAGCTTTCGGAGCATAGCCCCTTCGTCGGGTGAAGTGAGAGAGAAGCACACAGAACATAGGATTTATGGGCAGAGAGATCAAGTGCAGAGAGATCAAAAGATCATACAAATGGTGTGAGTGGAGTGTCAAATAATACGTCCCTGCAGGTGATGAAATGTGTTAGATGGTCTGAGTAAAGTGTCAATAGCTGAATAGCAAACAAAGGGATGACCTCTCACCTGTTTAAATGAGGTAGAGAGATAATTACAAAAAATTAGAAATAAGTTGTGCTGGCGACAAACCAAATGACTGGAATAACATGATAAGTATAAGAGTCACATGCCGAGGGTCTAACCAAAGTAATAAGGAATCCAAAACTGTGCATACTAATTAATGTGGAGAGATCATGACAATTTATCACGGTCATGGTGTCAAAACAGGACAGTAAGGAAGATTTTACAGATACAGAACAGTGTGCTGGGGTTTACATGTAGCACGACATGAACCCAAGATCACGGTTAAAGCCGTCTTCATGAGTACGGAATTTTCAGTCAAGCATTGGACCAACTGATTAGTGGTAGTGCAGCAGCACTATCATAATGCAGCTCTGCTGCTCATAGCTTCCCATTGGTGTTGTTGTTCAAACAAAACAACCACTTATTCAAAGAGATAGTAGGAACTGCAGATGCTGGAGAATCCGAGAAAACAAGGTGCAGGGCTGGATGAACACAGCAGGCCAAGCAGCATCATAGGAGCAGAGAGGCTTTCTTTTCTCCTAAAACCACCATTTGACATTTTCCTGTTGACGCAGCTAGTCATCTTTGGGATTGTTTTCTTGGATATTTGGTGCCAAGCCTTGTATCTTTCTTTTCTCTCCATGTTACGCTGTTCCTGAGGAAGGGGCACCAACGACTGTTGTAAAGTTTCAGTGGGAATTAGCTGTGAACTCCATTCCTCTTGATGTGTTCCACATCGGAAATGTGGATCCTCCCAATCTAATCCACTTCAGAAAGATGCTAATTCACAAGGTTCTTCCTTTACCACAAAACAGAAGGAAGGAGGCTGGTTAGTTCAGTGGGCAGGATAGCTGGCTGGTGATGCCAACAGTGTGGGTCCAACTTCTGCACTGTCTGTGGGTGCAATGAAGGCATGCCCTTCACAACAACTCCTTCCATTGTTGCCAGAGGCATGTTGAAACTTATGTCATAGAATAGCATCCCTACAGTGTGGAAACAGACCAATCGGTCCAACAAGTCCATATCACCCCTCTGAAGAACATTCCACCCAGACTCACTCTCATATCCCTGCATTTCCCATGGCTAATCCACCTAATTTACACACCCCTGGACACCAGGGGCAGTTTAGCATGGCAAATCCACCTAACCTGCACACCTTTAGACTTAGGGAGAAAGCCAGAGCACCCAGAGGAAACTCACACAGACACAGGGAGTTTGTACAAACTCCACACAGACAGTCACTGAAGGTCGGATTTGAACCCAGGCCCCTGGCACTGTGAGGCAGCAGTGCTAACCACTGAGCCACCATGCCACCCAGCTACTACCATTCTCCTCTCTGTCTAATGGGACAGTAGGGCAGTGGTGACTCTACCTTAAAAAATACAAAAGAACTGCAGATGCCGTAAATCAGAAACTAAAACAGAAATTGTTGGAAAAGCTCAGCATCTGTAGAGAGAAATCAGAGTTAACGTTTCAGGTCGAGTGAGCCTTCCTCAGAACTGGCTTTACCTTACTTTTGCAATAGAAGATAAGAAGGAACTTGTTCCTTTCATGATCTCGGGGCACTCCTAAGCACCCTACAGCCAATGAAGTGCTTCTGAAGTGTAGTGACTGTTACAGTACAGGAAACACAGCAGTCAAGAAGGAGCAAGGCTCAGAAAGCTTGTGTTTTCAAATAAACCTGTTGGACTATAACCTGGTGTCGTGTGATTTCTGACCTTGTCCACCCCAGTCCAACACCGGCACCTCCACATCATAGCAGTCAATTTGCAAACAGTTAACTCTGCCAAACAGCAAAGTGATCATGACAAAGCAATCACAGACAAACAAGACAAATGATTTGTGATCTTGTTTAAGGAATAACTATTCATTATGACATATCGGGATAGCTCTGTTCTTCTTCAAATTACTTCTACACACAAAATAAGCAGATGGGACTTCAGTGCAATATCCTATTCCAAAGGCAATACTGAGAGAGACTCAGCCTTGATTTTTATGCTCAAGTCATGGAAGCCTAGCTTTGAGAATAACAGAGAAGAGAGAACAACCATCTGAGCCACAATGACGCCTAGCAATGAATTAGTTTGAAATGTAGATGCTGGTGTATTTGAGATTTGGAAAATACTGGCAATACACAGACCAATACTCTCAGTGCACTAACCACGGGTCAAACACGATTGTCTCATCCCAAAATTAAATCACCAGTTTACCATTAAGCTATTGCTTTGACGAGACAGATAGGCATTGAAATTACAAATTTTGAATATTTGTGCAAAAATGCATAATGTGGGAAATTCATTTGTCTGTTTATTTAGCAGCAAGTTAAAGGTTGTGTAAAGATGAATCTTGAAGTTCAATGAAGCCATGAATAACTTTATCACAGAGGACAATTATACAATATTCCGAGCTGGATGGCAGAACTTGATTATATCCCACAACTCCAGCCCATTATGAGTGTCAGGATCTGTCTGGGAACAATGAGGGAATCTGTCCATCAAATGGTAATCAAAATATTCCTGTCCACTTTTGCAAGCCAATAATATTCCATTCCAGTCCATCACAGAATCACAGAAATCTTGCAGTTCGGAAGGAGACCATTCAGCCTAACATGTCTGCACTAGTTCCCCAAAGGAGCATTGTGATATCGTACCATTCCTTGTCCCCATAATCCTGCACATTGTTTCTGATCAAGTAATCAGTTAGTACCTTCTAGAATGCCTTGATGGAACCTGCATGCATACTTGCACATTTAAAATGATTGCAAAATTTAAGGTTTGCAGGCACGTGATCCCACTTTGCAGTGATTCACAGTGCTGCCTTCAAAGGGCTTTAAACTGCAAGTTCAAAAGTCAATGGGCAAATTTAACCCCCTTACCGTCAAAACATTTCCCACGCATATTCAAGGTCCAAAGTGCAGGAAACTGGACTGCTCCAATGAAAGAAACGTTGGTTGTCTATAAACATTGAGAAGCAGCTTGCTCCCAATAGTCTATCTTAACATGATCAGCTTAACTTGTGCGGACTGTACTTGCAAAGTATTGCTTAAGTCCACAGTATCCAATTTGGCAACGTGGATTGTAATACAGCACTTAAGAGTTTAAGTCCAACCAAAATAATTGGATGTGTATTGGTTCCCACACAACACATCAACTTGAAATGATAAAGATTTGCTGGCAAGATTCTAATAAATGTTCTTGCATAGTATGTTGGAATGTAGGAGAGCTGGCAAGTAGCTCTAAATTTGAAGATAATAACCAACTCAACTGAATGGAGAGCTAAAGGGTGGTGGAAGGAAGTGGGTGGAGCAGGTCAGATGTAAAGCATATGGCCATCTCACTGCATAACAAAGGAATTAATACATTGCAGGCCGAATTTTACGGGCAAAGGCAAGCACATTTGGGTGCATGAAGGGATCAAGTAACTCATTAACCTGGGTGCTAATGGCTTGTCTCAGTGAAAGACCCTCAACATTGCACAGTGGGTCAATGTTCCTAGCATTTCATAGAAGCTAAGTTCAAACCTAAAACATGGTGATCTGATAAGGAAGTGAGACACAGAAGATAAGTGCTCCCGCCTTAAGCTTATGTGACTGGTATTGAAGAAATTACACGTCAAAAAATATCAATGGCCTTCTGGCTAAGACAGCTTGGCTACATTTACCTTATGGTGAACATTTCAAAATAGTGTGCCACTCATGTCTCAAAAGTAAAGTCTAATGTGCCTCTGCTCACACTCACCAGATTGTTCAGCAGACCACTTTCTACTGGCTACTCAAAACACATGTGAGAGTGCACATGCAAGATTACAGTGTTTAATTCCCATCATAAGATGTTTTGGATTGAAATGACCTCTAGGTCACACTATCATATAAGAAAATATTTCACTGTAAATGTAAATCCCTGATGGAAAGGGACAAAGAATCCACTTGTAGGAAATAGCACTAATGCTGAAGCAGTGAATATATTAGCAGAGCTAACTTCCAATTTTCCAAACAGATACAGAGAATGACAGATGCCAAGGCACGCAAAATGGCTCTTGTTTCAAAGTTCAGCTAAAAAAAATTAAGATCTAGTAACTGTGTTAAATATTTCAGCACTGTGGTTTCAGAGCTGCTAAAGGTGACCTCAGAAAGATACATCCACAATCAAATGATTGCTTCCTGTATACATTTGGTGAGAAATTCTTTTGTCCTTTATTTCAGGTTAAAACACTGAACCTCTCTGAGGGGGAACAGCTCTCCATCCGTGGATTGGAAGAGGACAACTGGATTGTTTTAGCCAACCAAATGCTTCTAGTTGAAGGCCAGGTTATCCGCAGCCCAACTAATACCATTTCAGTGCATTTCCGCTCATTCCAATATGGAGGTATTGGAACATTCCAACTCCATTATCAGGGTAAGTAATAAGCACACTGTGGTGGAAACTGGAAGCAAAAAATATATTGGTCAAAGCTATAGAGTATGTGAAATGCTCTGTGGTGTCCAAATGGGAAGTACAGAGTCCAAACTCTGGGAAGTCAAGACATTAAGGATTAATTGTTTTGCTATGTAAATGACCAAACCTTACAACTCAATTATTTCAGTTGATTAATTTGTATGTTTGTACCTTCAGGCATATGTGCACCATGAGAATATTATCCAGATGACAAATTGCAATGGAAATTCTGATTTTCCATCATGCCTGCATGCGTAAAATATGTAACTCTAACAGCTTGTAAAATGCGGAAGGACATTGCACAGCAACATCCCAACAACGTCAGTGTATTACTTCAGTACCAGTTCCAGTTTCTTTGGAAAGGGAGAGTTACAGATCTGACATTTATTTTGCACAAGATGACAGGAAAGATACAAATGAGGACGACCATTTGATTTGTCTCAGCAACTCCATCGAGAAAGGCCTTGATGCTTACCCATGACAAAGGGGTTTCTGTCCTGCTAGCCGCTAGCTATCTCCAAACTCTCTCCTTTCAAAGCTGAAAACCTGAAAAAGTTTGTTCAGTCTTTCTTCATACTCAAGCTTTCAATGGGCTTTATAAATGGGCCATGAGTTTCCCTCCATTTTGGAGACAAGGACGGAGGCAGGGACATATTGAAGCTGATGCCAATTTGCAGGGTGGAGGTGGGGAGGTTGCAAAGGGAGGCTGTACAGTACTTCACAGCAATGCCTTACCAATGTACTTGAATAGATCCAGTGGATCTCCTCTCATGCATTGTTAATGTTAGTTTTCCCCTTCATTGGTATTCTTGCAAATTGTCCCGATGAGTGGAACAGAAACGTTTCAACAGAACGTATCTGTTTTTTCACAATGTCTTTTTTTTCACAATATTGTGACAATTGTTCACTTTAAATCTGAGATTAGATCCAAGATGCAGTAAAAAATATAGTAACTGCCTGTTTAAAATCTTCCACATTTATGCAAATATGATGGGAAAACATTAGCTGTGATCTCACCTGTTTGTGGAAGGTGTCTTTGGGGTGATGGCTTTTTGAGTGTAGAAGAGCTTATCAGTAATTTTTAAAAAAGACTTTGCTGCTAATGTATAAATGTTGTCTTCATGCCAATTTAAATACTGTGTTATCTAAGCTTTATGAGTGTTCTATGTCTTTAAATTTGATGAAAGGGTGATGATTATTGAGAATGTTGCTGAATTCTCCTAATTACAATTCTATTTGAGTCCAAATGCCCAGACATTGACACAAATACAGGAAGTAATATTACAATGGATAGAATCTTATCAGATCTCTGAACAATGTGTGGGAGATCTGCAGAAATGAGGAGAGATTGGACAGACTTGGTTTGTTTTCACATGAACGTCTAAGGATGAAGGGTGACCTGATAGAAGTTTACAAAATTATGGGAGGCATGGATAGGATGGGTCGTCAGAGTCTTTTTACCAGAGTTGAAATGTCGATTAGGAGGGGACATAAGTTTAAGGCAAAAGAGAACAAGTTTAAAGGACAAGTGAGAGGCCACTTTTTTTACACAGAGGGTGGCGAGTGCCTGGAATGGGCTGCCAGAGGAGATGGTGTAGGCAGTTACCACAGTAATGTTTGAGAGTTGCCTTGACAGGTATATGAATAGGCAGGGAGTAGAGGGATATGAACCGCATAGAGGTAAAAGGCATATTCATAAAGGCATCAGATGTTGGCACAGTCTTGTTGGACCAAAGGGGCTGCTCTTGTGCTGCACTGTCCTTTGTTCTTTGTTCTAATCACATGAGACCTTAGGTGAGGCCTTTCTCGATGTTGGGAGCAACTCGATGCATTTTCCAACTAACATCCAGATATTGAGACAAGATTCTCACTGGGGGATGGTGAGATGCCAGTTAACAAGGATTATTGCTTGTTATCAGTCTCAGTAACTGTACATCTTGCCTCATTAATATGCACCTGCCGTGAGGAATCTGAACGTCAAAAATTCCAGACACAAAATGTTTGCGAGGATATCTGGCGACCCCAGATCATTGCTTGCCCTTCCTGACTGCTATTTTGGATACGCAACAACAACATCTCAGGGCAAACTTACGGCTGCACTTAACTCCCATCTGAATGCTGGCATCTGACATGTGCTGGTCTCTCTCTACATCCTCATGGAATCTCTTCAATCCACTTACAGGTTACTTAGGTATTGTAAAGCTGTGTTTCAGAATGCAGAGGCACCTCTCACAACAATGCTGCTGCAAGGACATTTTGTGCATAGGGACATGCACCCAACTCACAGTTTGACCTAATGTTAACCCTAACCCTAACCCTAACCCTAGCCCTAACCTTAACCCTAACCCTAACCATAACCATAGCCCTAAAGCTAACCCTAACGCTTGCCCTAACCCTAACCCGATCCCTAACCCTAACCTAACCCTAACCCTAACCCTAGCCCTAACACTAACCCTAACCCCAGTCCTAACCCTAGCCCTAACCCTAGCCCTAACCCTAGCCCTAACCCTAGCGCTAACCCTTGCCCTAACTCTAACCCTAACTCTAACCCTAGCCCTAGCCCTAGCCCTAACCCAATCCCTAACCCTAAATTAACCCTAACCCTAACCCTAAATTAGCCCTAACCCTAGGCCTAACCCTAAGCCTAATCCTAACCCTAATCCTAACCTTCAGTTGGGAGTCCCACTATATTCAGTCAAGGATAGATTCCGATATCAATCGAAGCTCGGGCATGGTCTCTCAGCCACTTGGGGGTAATCAGGGTCAGGATACTCTCCTCATGGTGGGGTGAGGAGAATGTCAGGCAGACCACCCATCTTGGTTCCTACTGCCCTACTGTGATTTGTTTCCTCCTGGCGAGAGAGAAAGGGAGGGATTGTGTGGGATGGAGGTATGTGACAGACCTATTAGTGCAGATGCTGATGGGGAAAAGATAATGAGCTGTCCTGAGTGAATGAGAAGGCAGCACAAAGGCCATGCAGGATTTGGAGGATGAGGGTGAGAATGAGTGAGGGAAGACAATGCATGCAATAATGAGAGCATGAGCTTTGGCGGGAGATGAGTGCAGGACCGGAGACAGAATTAATGTGTAGTAGCAAAAGGAAGATGGCAGCATTTACTCTGGCCGAGTGGATGAAATCATTGACCTTCAGCCTTCTCTGCTGAACGTTCCTCTAGCTGGCTGAGATCACAATGACCCAATCGGCAACCTGAAACCAGGCTGGCAGGGGGTTCTGATAGTGTGCCAGTCCTGGGGGAGATGAAATGCCACATCTGTGCCATTACATCCATCAGGATCTCCAGGTACTGTCCACAACATGACGCAACAATGTTCTCTTCTCTGCCACGTTTGGGAAACATGTCATGAGCCACGCAGAGAAACTCTGGACTAGCAGTGCCTGCCTGGGTGTCCAATAACCTTTTAAAGATGCCCAGGTACCAGGGATGTCAGTCTATTCCAGGGTATCCCTGCAGTGATGCTTCAGGCTGCAAGTGATAGAATAGGGCTAGCATTGGATGTGATGGACACTTCAGGGGCAGGATTGCTAATTAAGGGAGCATGTTTGGGACAATAAAGTGAGAAAACTTGCTGGGGCTCACGTAGGGAAATTCTCCATGAAACTTGACACTTAGCCCAAAAAAAAAGTAAGATTCAACATTATGGCTTATTAACTGAATTACTGGAATGAAAAGGGAGCCCCTGAGATCCAAAAAAAGTGTCCTCTGAGAAAATATATTTTGCGCCCTGTTTCCAGCACCTGCAATATTTTGCTTTCTTGTTATTTGTTCATGCTGAGCATTTTTAAATGTGGTTCATTTCAATTCAAAAGGAGAAACTATTTGTCACTCAATTGTAAAGCATAGTTTTCCTATTATCGAAATCCACTTGTCTGAATAGAAATTGCATATTACTGCAAGTGAATGGGTTTGTGCTTATTTATTGAAAGGCTTTTGCAATTATTGAACTTCAATGTGAACCCATGCATTGTGTAACAATAAAATATGTCATTGTTACTTTAAGATATTCTCATCAGCATATGGGATTATTATTTCTGGTGTTCTTTGTGAGATTCAAGTTTTTTTTGTGTAATTGCTGCCCAGAAATTTCATAGAGCCAGGTTCTAAGGAGTGGAGCAGGTTGCTGTGTATAATTGTCTGAAAACAACCAAGGTTATAAAGTGTATCATACTAAAACCTAAAATTTCAAGGAGCTTTATAAATAGAGGCATGGAATATAACGCAAGATGTTTTGCAAGATCTACATAAAATAGTTTGATTTCACTATTACAACAATTCTGGGCGCCCAGAAGATATGAATGAGAAGGTTAAACATGGTGACAATTAGGGACCCAGAAACTGGAGAAGTACCAGAGCCCATGAGTTAACCCCTGTTCATTCAGAAAAATTGTCAGAAGTTCATCTCACAAATATGGCACAAAGCAGGCTGGTTGATTTTCAGACAGTTGCTAGGGTGAGGGTAGAATTGATGGTTAGAAATTGAGCTGGAGTCTGAAGACAATGGTTTAATTCCTTCCAATATTTAATTTCACACATTTATTGTTCAGTTACAGATTTTATAAGAAATCTAAAAGAAAGTTTGAAACAACAATATTGACAATCCTGGGTAGGTTGAACTTAATCATTTCCATTTTGTCCACCTGAGGGAAGAGCTATGGATTTACAGACAGGTTGGATTAGAGAGTTAAGTTTCTACTATCCCATGTGAATTGATTCTCACCAACAGTGAACGTGCACTGTGATTAGTTCAATCAGTTACAATCCATCTTATCGAGCTTAGCACCATCTTTTCAAAAACAAATCTGTTCTTTCTCAACACATACAAACCCAATTATTCTACAAAACATTGAATTTTGATTTCTGCACCACATTTCTTCCCTTTACAGCAGAATAATGGCTTGTTTACCTTTAGCTAGATTCATTTTAGACGACAGCATGAAATTTAACTCAAAGTTATTATTGCTGGTTTTGTGCTCAAGTGGGATAAACACTGGCCCAGACCAATTTGGCTGAATGACTTGTTTCTGTGTTGGATATTCTAAGTAATTCTGTGCATTAGAGATGTACCAGCATGTGTGCAGTTAAACCTAGTAAGGACTGTCCTTTCTGCAAAAACAATGGAAGGCAAGATAACATGATGGGTGGGAAGGAAAGTGTTCTCATTCAGTGTAATAATCTACAAATCAGTAAATCCTCATTTTCATGGCTTATGATGCATTGTGTGTTTCCAAATGAGGAGACTCCTGGAAGTTGACATTGCTTGTCCTCATTCTCCACGTGGCCTGGATTTTAGTAATTGTCTGAAGATGGGCTATGAAGAGGAATGCCTCATGAGCTGTTGGCATAAAGTGCCGATATGGGTTTTTAATCAACAGGAGGAAACACTTTGGTGCACTGCCCACTGACCACAAAGGAGAGGCCAATTAATATAATTAATTGACCAATTAATGGTCAAATTCTGCTGTATTGGGATTTTACCGATGTTAAAATTGGCTCCCACCAACTGAAAGATCGCCAGGAGGTCTTCCAGAGAATCCGTATGTGCAGGGACATCATTTATATAGCTGTTCCGCTTTCCTAAGAGGGGTCCCTGAAGCTCCAACACCATCACTGGAAGATACACCACACCGAGCACTGGGTCCTGCGTGCCTAGCAGTAAAAAAATACTTACCTGGCCTCTGAGGGCACCTCAACATGGAGGCTCCCTCTCCTTCTTCCTGCAGCTGCAGCAGTGGCCATCTCTGTGGGTGGCGCTGTTGAGGCTGTCAAGTTTGATTCCGACCTTCTGATTGTGCCAACAGCTCAGAGACGCATGATAGTTCCTCCATTGGACCATGGTTCCAACAGTGACCTATTTATTGGCTGCCAGTGGGAATGTCCTACCCAAGTACCACCATTTGGCTACATAAATTCGACATCCTCTTTGACTTCCAGGTACAGCCTCGGATCTGGTGTGATTCTGGCCTATGTTTCTGCATTTATTGTTGAAACTAGCCATCATGTGCAGCTCGGTGTCATTGTGTCATAGTTTAGTTGTCAAAAGTCAAGCAATTACTCCCAAACATATGCTCTGTATCAAGGTAGGATGTTATTTGTTGGATGTTTTGTAATGTTCTGGTATTGAAGGTGAAATATTATTCCAGATCTTTGCATCTTATTTTTCTAAATGAATTCTGAAATGGTGAGTTACCAATCCACATCAAAGCTGTAAATTCAAATTGCTTTTGCTGCATCTATTTTCTGGTAGTCCATGTCAGCCACATCCTGACAATTTCAGAAAGCTGTCCAACTCAGTGGGTCAGGTGGTTTGTCACGTAACTGCATTGGTCACAAAAATCAGGCACTAGGCAACTTCCCAAATGCTTATGATGGATCGATCGCTGTTTTGGAAACTCTGAGGAAATTGTCTCGCTTGGGCTTCCAGGCACGGATGCAGCTTAACAGATGGCCATCAGCAAAGAACGTGGGGTTTTTTTTTCCCCCCTGGTTTTGGAGCGAAGAGGAGCAGGTTTGTTTCTTGCAGCTCCACTGCACTGCCAAGTGTAACTGCCAACTGTGATGCAAGCTGCTTACCATTGATCTTAACAAAAATGGCCAAGCCGCCCATGAAGCCAAGGCAGGAGTGACAGCTTGCCCTTGTGATGATGGCCAAGGCTCCATCTTGGGCTGTCCTCAGGGCTTTCTGGTTAAGCATTTGTGCACAGCCAACATTTCAGGCCTGTAACAGGTCTTTGCCCTGTGAACCCTCATTCGGTCCTCAGCAAGGAAGCTGCAGGTAATCCCAACCTTGGCAGCGCTTTGAATGGGTCTTTGTCACAGAAAATGTGAAGTTCTTAAGGGCTGTCCTTGAAATGAGCTGGTTCACAGGAGGAGGGGAGTCTGCGACTGATGCCAAACTCTGCACTAATTGATTAATCAGACATTTGGCTCAAAATACAGCAAAGAACAAAATGAAAGATGATTCTGTAGAATAATGAGAAAGTTCTTTATTGCCAACCCAGCAATGTTTTAGAAGTAAAAGGTCACTCTAAGAAATGAAGTCATCGCCCCTCATTCCATTTCGCTTCCAGTGTTCACAGTTTTCATTCTGCGTGGAAAATTCCTCTGGGTTCAGGCAGACCTGGCTGATGTGGTAGATATCTCTCTGGGCTATATTGAAACCAGTAAACATCAATTGATTTAGGAGCAATGAATGGCTAATGAATAGCTAGAATGATAACCCCTATAAGACCCATGGACAATCACTAATTAATCTCCCTATGGAGATCACTGAGTATGAGTTCCCTTGGTAACAGACTTTGGCCTACCCAACTGGAACTCATCACCTGAGCCCTTTATAAAGCAGACCCATCTACCCCTCTTCAGTGGTTATGTTTGTACCTCGGTTTCCTTGGAGAGAGAGCACGAGTTGTCCATCAATGCTTTAGACAGAGGTGGGCACCAAGGGGGGATACAGTGCTTTATTTCCTCTTCCAATTCCATTTTGATTTCGTCCCTTCCCTCTCTCCACACTTCCCCCTCACTTTTGATGGTTTGCTTTGCACTGATCGGACTTTGCATTTAATCTATAACTGGCTCCACATCGCCTACTGCTTAAAAAGGAAAACAAAACACAAAAAGAAGAGTCATGGTGACTTGGGTGTTGGAAAGGTCACTCGGTGTGTCGCTCAGATAGCACTTCTGGATATAAAAGAAAAATAAATAAAACAGACCCATCTGGTTAATAGTTAAAAACAAAAAAAAGTCACTGTGAGCTGGAGGTGGGAAAGTTGTTCAGTTCTGTGTGATAACATTTCCTAACAGAAATAAATAAGTAAATAAATAAAGCAGACCCATAGGGTCTCATGGTGCAATGGTAGTGTCCCTACACCTGAGCCAAGAGGACTGGGTTCAAGTTCCACCTGCTCCACAGGTGTATAACAATATACTTGAACAGGATGGTTTTTAAAAAACTATTTCAAAGCAGATCCATTTAAATGAACTATTAACAGAGCAGACCCACTGAATTGGAAACACCGATGATTCGCTGGTGGTGGTTTATAGGATTTTTTTAAAAAAAATCTCGGTGATGAAAGAATAAAAATCTATTCAGTTGTTTGTGATGAGACTTCTGGATATAGAAAATAAAGCAGTCGAGTCTGCAGAACTGTCTGACCCAGGCTGGGACTAGACTATATACACCACAAATAGTGGTACCTTTTTGGCGTTCAATAATTAATTATGTTCCTTTCCTGTCAGGTTTCCTGAGTTGTTATAATCCACTAAACATTTGGTACAAGATTTCTATTTGGTGAATTAGAATGGAAATGGATAGACTGTCTGCAAGATTCAATCAGAATAATCTGAGATCAAGCAGACAAAATATCAGTGGCTGAGACCACTTAAGGAGACTATGTATAACAAAAACATCACCTTTAATGTAGTTTAACGTCTCAACCTGCTTCACAGGAATGTTACAAACAGAATTTCACTGATATTATGATGACTGAAAACAAGTGGATTTAAGATATTTCTAACCAGCCTGTTGGTTATGACACACCTCTCAGGCAGATGGGTCTTGAACCTGGGTCTGTCTGGCTCAGAGGTAGAAACACTACCAGTGTGCCTAAGATCTGTACAAGGTGGATTTTAACAGAGTCTTAAATGGGGCCAACTGACAGAGAGGTTTAAGGAGGGTGCTAACAGCGTAGGCAGCCAATGGTCACCAGTGGCAGAGTGATCAAGACAATGCAAACAAGCAAGCTTGGAGATCCCTTGATGGGATAGAGGGCTGGAAGTGGTGGTATCAACAAGGAAGAGAAGGTAATGGAGGCATTTAAAAACACAATTGGGAATATTAAAATCCAGTCATTGTGCAATTGAAACCCATGCTTAGACTGTTGTGTTGTGTAGTATTCTGTGTTTTTGTGATGATGAAGCCTTTCAAGCAGCATTTCTATAAGATTCCTGTCAATCTGAATCTCACAGTTTCTGAGGAAAGAGGAGTGTCCACTTGTGAACTCTGCAGCCTATGGGACTCAATATTAAGTTCAATAATTTTAAGGCCTGAGCACCTTCTGCCATGTCCTTACACCAACCCCACACACCAGGCCTTGACATCATATGGGCTGCTACCACAACCAACCTATTGTCCCCATTAGGCTGACCTCTACCATTTCCTTTGCCTGTCCAACTGTTGTTCTCTCATTCTGGGCTTCACCTTTCATCTCCACCTTTCATTTACTCCTCCCCTCAACCCATCATCAACATATATACCAACCATTTCCCAGCTACAATCAGTCCTGAATAAGGGTATTAGACACAAAAAGTTAACCTGCTTTCTCTCCACAGACCTGCTGAGTTTGCCCAGCAACTTCTGGTCTTATTTCTCACAGGTGCTGTTTATTGATTATTTACGCACTAACGTGATTTATCTAGGATTGTCAACTTTCCAGCAATCCCCTGTGAAGAAGGATCACCTGGACACCCCTGTGAGCCATTTGAAGTGGGAGGGAGTCCACAGAGGCGTTAAGAACTTGATGTGCTTCAGTGAATTCTCTCTAACGCTTCCATTGTAAGGATAGTGGAGCTGCTGGATAAGGCCAGATGTCAGATGAAACCTTCAGGAAAATGTTAAACCAGAGTTGGCAACCCTAGATGTAACTTTTCCTCAATGCATCGTGGTTGATGATATTCATGCTAAAAAGGACCAAGGGCTATTTGAGTACGGATGAAAGGTTTAAATGTGAATCTGTCTATTTGCAGTTTACATGTTGAGCTGCGACTTTCCCCGGAGGCCAGATTATGGTGATGTCTCTGTGTTGGATCTACATGCTGATGGCACTGCACTCTTCCGTTGTAACTCTGGTTACCAGCTGCAGGGACTGCGAACTCTGACCTGTATGAATGCTTCCAAGCCACATTGGAATGCCAAGGAGCCAACCTGTCTTGGTAAAAACTATATCCAGTTGAAACTAATTCTACTTCATATGTTTTTTTCATTTGATTCCGGCTCTCTCTCCTTCTTAAAGGTGTCTGCTCTCTGTTTCACCTTTGTAGACATGCATTAGTATGGAAGAACTTTCCTTGCTCATTTAAATGTTCTGCATCCACTTTCAACATCCTGGGAGGGGGATTATCATCACTAAGTGGACCACCCTACAAACACAATGATTACAAAAGCAAGTCAGAGGCTAGGAATCATACAAATTAACCAATGATCCTTAGATGGCACCTTCCAAACCAATGACCACTTCCATCTAGAAGAACAAAGGTCAGCCCACAGTACAGGTACTGCAGCGGTTCAAGATGGCAGCTTACTACCACCTTCTCAAGGGCAACTAGGGATGGGCAATAAGTGCCGGCCCAGCCAACCAGTGACATCCACATCTCACGAGTAAGTAATAAAGAAAGTAAGGGTCTCCCCTTCAACACCAACCTCCACCCCCCCCCCCCCCCCCCCCCCGTCAAAGACCCAAATGTACCTCTTCCAATAACTGGCCCTCAACCTCTTGGAGGATTTCTAACCCCCACCTCCAACTCCTCGTCAAAGACGCAATTGACTGTTTCCATTCTAACCCCCTCTCTGTCAGTGATGGTACCACAACTTCACAGGAGATCCTGACCATCTTGGATTGTCTAAGATGACAGTTAGAAATCCCCCAAGAGGTTTAGGACCAGTTATTGGTAGAGTTATATGTTTGTGGATTATTTTTGTGTACCAGCTGTGTTTAGCTGCATACTGATAGAGTATTGCAGAGTGCTAGTTGAGTGCAGTCAAATATTGATTAATATTACTGTGCAGTAGCAGTGTGCTGCTGTAATGGATGTTGCCATGAGCTAAATGATATTCCAGTGTATTGGACATACTGGCTGTGAATTACTGTGGACTGTCAGTACTGATTAATTCATGGTGTTTGGTTCTCTTGACATTGGGCATTGCTTCATACTGAGCTGGTAATAAGTGTTTCCATCCCATGTATCTTCTAATCACTAGCTAGAACCAACATAAATGGGATTTGAATCATAGAATCCCTACAGTGTGGAAACAGGCCCTTTGGCCCAACAAGTCCACACCGAACCTCAGAGCATCCCACCCAGACCCATCCCCCTATAACCCACCTAATCTACACCTCCCTGAACACTATGGGCAATTTAGCATGGCCAATCCACCTAGCCTGCACATCTTTGGACTGTGGGAGGAAGCCGGAGCACCCGGAGGAAACCCACACAGACACGGGGAGAATGTGCAAACTCCTCACGGAGGATTGCCTGAGGCTGGAATCAAACTTGGGTCCCTGCGCTGTGAGGCAGCAGTGCTAACCACTGTGCTACCGTGCCACCAAATGGTCACTGATGGTCTTTGTGACATTCACGGATTGCACTTTCAGTGAGAAAGAGGAAGTGAAAGGTGTAGATCTCAGTTACAGGGAGCTTGAGTAAAGGAAAGTGTGAAGAAAAGTAGGAACATCTCCAACAAACATGACATTTTGCGTATTTATTTTCAGAAGGTCTTGCTGCTGAATGCTTTGAGAGAGCCCTTTAAATACACCAGGTCAGATTTTAAGTTTTGATAGTAGCAGAAAATTGGCAGCAGTCAATTCACTAAAGTCAGTGGGAAGGAGGATGGAACACTGTGAATATTTGCCAGTTGACTAATACCTGGTTACTACCCACTCTGAAAATTAAAATCAGTCTGTGTAATAGCTGTAAATAGCAACTCCTACTGCAGTTTAAATATAGCTGATCACCTAACTCTTTGAGGACTCACAATAGAATAATACAGTAGAAGGCAAGACGCAGTAGGGTGTAGGTAAAACATTAACTTTTGCTCTGTATCTTCTCATAAAGAGAAATTCCATTAAATGTGGTTGAATGCATTCCTCTATTCAATATGTTATGAAGACAACCACTTCAGGACATTCTACCTGAGCAGGGCACATTGAGGGCAGATGCTTCCTTGTTAACCAAATGGTTAAGGACACTGCCCCTTGTGGAATTTGAAACCAGAAACATTCCATTTAAAGTATATGCCAAATTAGTTACGTTCAACTGAGGTGCCACAATGGGAGGTTCCATTGACTTCAGGTCCTCTCGATCAAGGAAATGGTATGATTCCTGTTCTTGAATGCTTTCCTGACGTGGCAAGTGTGGTGGTAGGTACACGGGGTAGGGGTGTTCTCCTGCACAATAGGTTATAGTTAATCAGCAACCCATTCATCATCTCTCTACCTTTTTTTTGCTTCCAATGACATCAACTGGTTCACTTTCACCCTGTTGATGTCATCGCACAGAATTACAGCCCTGCCTGTGTAGTGTTGTGTGGGAATGAGCTCAGATTTGCCTCTGAGTCATTCCATGGATCAGGAGTCTTTGAACACTCAGATTTGACAAATGGCTGCTAATGTACTACCTCCAGCTGTGAAACCACAGCCCTGCAGACATCTGAGCATTCAGACAGAATAAAAACTGGAGAAGGGACAAAGCATGCATTTACATGATAGATAATAGTCTTCTCATCTAACATCGACTTTCTTTCTCTTTATCTCTCTCTCTGTCTCCTTAGCACCCTGTGGTGGGTTTATATCCAATGCTACCATTGGTAGAGTATTGTCACCCAATTATCCTGCAAACTACAGCAACAACTTAAACTGCACTTGGATAATTGAAGGTACAAAAGGCCAGAAGTTCCATATGCACTTTGAAAAGGTTTCTCTGGCTGGACAGGGAGACAGGTAAGGATGGACTTTGGAGCAGTATTCCTCACTCATTTGATTTTAACCTTCCGGTTCTATCATATGTGCATTTAGACATGTCTTCTTGCTGAAGATCTAGATCCTTTGCTCACTGTGAGTCTTCAGGTAGGAGCACAGTCTATAAGAGGGCACTGCCTGTTTAAGTGACGGTGTTGGTGGTCATCATTTATTCATACAGGGGGCTTGTTCCTACCATGGTGCTCTTCCAAGGCAATCTGAAGGAATGATTCTGCAGATTCCCATGCTCCAATGTGGACATTTTGATTCTTCAGCAAACTATTCCCAGTTGTTGAAGCCAATCTGGCATGAAATGACATCTGGCTTGCATGATTCCTTATGTCTTAATCTTGATCGGCCACCAGATCTACACCAGGCACTGGGAAGCCACTGAATAAAGCTACTTAACTGGAGAAGGTATATCAGTGCTATAAATGTAGGCTGACACACTGGCAGTGATGAGGGAGCACTGCAGTGTTGAAGGTGTTGAATTTCGGTGACCAGGTTAAAGCCAGGCGTGATCTGCCCTTTTAGTGAAATGTAGGAGGGTGGTAGGGAGAGAGGTTGTGGAGCCTGCAAAGGCAGAAAAGACGTAACCTAATTAGACAGGCACAAAATAATGAATTTCTGATGGTAGGTTGGGGTGCAGAGGTCAAGCTGGTAGTGCATTCACAGTATGTGATACATTTCCATGGCATGAGCACCCATGTCAGTCTGACTTTATTTCTAAGTTACACTGTATCATCAAGATCAAATCAGTAGTGCATGAGAATCTTGTCGTAGCTGCTTCAGACTTGTTGAGAGGTGGCACATACCCTTTGCCTTTGTGCTGTTTGGTGTATGATTTCCTAGGATCCGGGCCAGTTGCAGCTGCCATCCACAGACCAGGGTGGTGATAGGGAGGGGGCAGAGAGGAGCACCACTCCAGGATGGCCTCCATACATTCTTCACCCTCCCAGACATGTGCTGCTTCTGAGGGCTCCTTATTTTTCGTCAAATTCAAATCTTGTTAAGAAATGTTGCCTCAGGACACATGCTAAAGCTGTTCCCAGGGGGCATAGCCTCCTAATAGCCCACCATCCTTGAGAATTCACTGACTATCTTTCATTAGATAGTGAGCATTGCCTCTGATCATTAATTGGCCAATCAAGAGAAAATTCATGCCAGGTAATCGTACCCAATCCAACTGTCCTGACAGTGGGCACCAACTGGGGCAGCATCGTGGCTCAGAGGTTAGCATTGCTACCTCACAGCACCAGGGACCCAGGTTTGATCCCAGCCTTGGGTTACTCTGTGCACGTGCGTGCGTGTGTGTGTGTGCATGCGTGTGTGTGTGTGTGTGTGTGTGTGTGTGTGTGTGTGTGTGCATTCTCCCCATGTCTGGGTTTCCCCTGGATGCTCCTGTTTCCTCCCACAGTCCAAAGATGTGCAGGCTAGGTGGATTACCCATGGGGAGCACAGGGTTATGGGGGGCAGGAGGGTGGTATGTTCTTCAAAGATTAGATGTCGACTCGATGGGCCAATGGCCAACTTCCACACTGTAGGGATTCTATGACTGAAACATAAGATCCTGCTCTTTGTTAGCAGACCTCATGTCCAGAGGTTTTTCCTCTGCTCTGGCTGTTAAATGACTGTGAAATCATGCATATCATAAGCATGATGTTAGTCAAGGGAATATGATTTTTCATTGTGAGGGAGATTATTTGCTTCACTCAACGCTGCTGCTTCACTTTACAAGTTTCTGTTAAATCCAAGTTAAATATCTGTTCAAACTCTGGAGAAGGATAAGCTTCCTGAGGAATGTAGTTTTAATGTTTGAGGACAATTCAATTGTCATAAAACTATAAGGAGCTATCAATCACAGATACAAAAGATCCAATTAGCCTTCTCAACAACAAGAAGCTGCATTTACATACAGCCTTTCACTGACTAATGTGTCCCATCTTGCTTAACAAGAATGTTATGAATCAAAACGAGCCATATCTGGAACATTATGAAGAAGGAGAAACAGGGAATTAGGTGGTGAGGGGTTGAGTGGAAGAAAGTGGAATAGTAACTTGGATATATACTGTTCTGGAATTGTATTACCATTCCTTGAGTCAAAATCCTCGAACTCCCTTCCTCACAACAATATGGGTATCCTCACATCCCAAGGCTATAGCTGTTCAAGGAGACAGCTCCCCACCAAATTCTCCAGGGCAAGAAAGGGATAGGCAATAAATGCTGGCCCAACAGTGATGCTCACATCTGATGAATGAATTAAGAGAAATATACCATTGTAAAGAAAACGTTTGAGGGAGGAACACGAGAGTGGGACTAATTAATTGGTTCCTTCAAAACACTAGAACAGGCACAGCAGACTGAATGGCTTCCCTCAGTGCCGTATCATAATCTGACCAGCACAATTACATCATAACTGTGACCCTGTCAATCTAATCTTTCAGGTTCAAATCCAGGAAGGGCTTTTGTTACTGTATATACCAACCCCATGCAGCAACTTGCTCATGCCTCAGTAAGCACTGAGTAGTTGCCAGTCTTTGCTTGCAGAGTACGGCTAGAGATAGGGAGCCAAACTGCTGGTGCTTGGGAGGTTCCAGTGATTTCTCCTTGCAGTTTTCTCCTGCCCATCTGTGCAATATTGTCAGACCACATTTAAAAGATGGATGCACAGGAATTATTCACTTGGGCTTCAAACTACAAACAGATTCGTTATGTACCACGAGCAACTACAAGAAAATGCTTGCACTTTGTCAATTGAAGCAGATGTTTTTGACTTATAAAATTACTGAAATCTTCATTTCATTTCATTGTGGATTCTCTTGTTCATGACTCATTAACATCTTGCTATCTTGACAATATAAATTCCAGGGGCATTTTAAAATAGGCTGTCTCACACAGTGACCTAATGTTCATATTCCTCTTTTAATGAAGAGTTTGGGTTACAGCTAGCTTTGCCAACAAACAAACCCTTGAACAATGAAGCTCTCTCGCTTTGGACGCACATACACAAAGGTTAAAGCTCGTATTTGGAATACATCTCCGTTCAATGTAATGCAGAGGAAACAGAACGGCCGAGCAACTCTCAGTGAGCTACTTGTTAGACTCTTCGTTGAATCAAGCTATTTTCCCACAATGGCTCCCATTTCCTGTTATTGCTGCCAACATGAATATTATAACACAATTATTCAGGATTCTGGTGGCTGTAGCAGATTCAAAATGAGGCTCTGTCTCAATCCCAACCCAGCACAGAGATGATGGGCCAACTGGTCTCTGTCTGCGTTGTAAATCTTTCTATGTTTCTCAATCAAGACTACCTCAGCCTTATGGGCAGGCAGGAGTGCCAGTCTGGAGCTTTATGGACAATGGAAACAAAAATGTCCAGAGAGCAGAATGCCCTCCGCTGTTCGTTGTAGAGTAAAGGGTTAACGCTTGAGCAAGTGCATGGGAAGCTACGTTAATGATGATGTAATGGTTACAAGGTGAGGAAAATACTCTGTAAAGAGGAGCAACATTCTCATGCTGAGTTAGAATGTACAATGCTAGGGAAATGTAAATAAAGATTAGTTCTGAAAAGTTCTCACCACTTCTGTTTTAGATTGTAGTGCACCTTAACAATCCTCCAGCAAATAACAACAGATCGAGACCCAGCAACAAGTTGGAGCTGTACTATTGAGATTCTTCCACTGCCCCAGCCTGTTGCTGGGCTTTTCCATGGGGATTGGATGGAGCAGGAGGGAAAGCTCTATGGAAGACCTATCATTGACTAAAGGGGCGAAACTGGCTTTCCCATTTCGAAAATAGTCTACACGTCTATTCTTCCTAACAAAGTGCATAACCTCACACTTTCCCACATTGGATTCTATCTGCCAGTTCTTAGCCCACTCTCCCAGCCTGTTCAAATCCTTTCAAAGCCTCACTGCTTCCTCAATACTTCCTGTCCCTCCACCTATCTTTGTGTCATTTGTGAAATGGTGAGATTTGGCAAACAATTAAATATGATATATAATGATGCTTTCACAATGCTTGTATAGCTAAAAAAATCTACACAACCAATTTAGAAAAAAATAATGAACTTTTGTAGATCCTCTTTACGGGGAACTCGATATTGTATCAAATTGATTGAATGCCAAGGTAGGAAAGCTCAGTCAATGGCTTCTCTTTGTCCTAGTATTCCATCAGACACTTATAATTGCCCTCAACTAAAGATAACCAAAGAGGCACAACAGGGCATTGCAAATGCATGATCTCTACTAAGTAAAAAAACAATAGCAGCAGATAAACGGGAATACCACTATCTAAATTTCTCCACCAAGCCACAAACCATCCTGACTTGCAACCATGTCGCTGTTCATAGAGTTTGTAGACTCCCTAGAGTGTGGAAACAAGCCCTACGGCCCAACAAATCCACTCCGACTCTCAGACATCCCACCTGGACCCATCCCCCTATAACCCACCTAATCTACACATCCCTGAACACTATGGACAATTTAGCATGGCTAATCCATCTATCCTGCACATCTTGGAAACCGGAGCACACAGGGGAAACACGGGGAGAAGGCGCAAACTCCACATATACAGTCGCCTGAGGATAGAATCGAGCCCAGATTCCTGGTGCTGTGAAGCAGCATCGCTAACTACTGAGCCATCGTGCCAAAATCCTGGAACTCCCTCTCTGACTGCACTGTGGATGTACTGCACCCCAAATTTTGCAGCAGTTCAAGAAAACAGTTCGCCACACTTTCTCAAAGGCAATTAGGGTTGAGTTATGTTGAGTTATGAATGTTGTCCCTGCTGACAACACCCACTAATTAATTTATGGATAAAGTGACCCACAACTGTTCCTCTACTCTTGGATCGTGAAGCAATGTTAAACAGAATTTGCATCAACGTAGCTCAAAAGTATCTTCAAAATTGAACAACTAACCTGTAACATTAGCTCTGATTCTCTCTTTCTGACCTACTGAGCTTTTCTAGTTTCTCAG